AGCAGAGCAGGCCTGGCGATGATGTCAAGCGTCGATGTCGCGGTACTTCGTCTGCCCGCAGAATTCTGGTGTAGCGAGAAGTACCGCGACATCGCCCACTTTTGGCGGCCCGGCGACCGTCTGGCGAGCGAGCGAAACTCCGTCCGCCTCTCTGCTCTCTGCTATCTCTCTGCTCTCTCTCTCTAGTGTTAAGTTAGCCATAGCAGTGTGGCAGCCAGGCAGGACGACGGACGAGCAGCCGCAAGACCAGCAAGCAGATCGAGACCTAATAGTTAGAGATCCAGCCGTTCCTTTGCTCCTTTTCTCCGTCTCTCGCGCCCGCTGGTGGACCGGAAGAGGGCCCTGGGATGGGTGGCCACCACGACGGCGAGCAGACGACCGACATAACTACAGACATAACTACATAACTACAGCCTTGCCTTGCTCGACCAGGCTGCAGGACGACCGACCTTGCTACGCCCGTGGCCGGAGGATTAAAGAGACAGTTAACGCCCTCCGTCCTGGCTGCTGTTCCCTTTGTCGAACGCACACGACAGCGGATGCTCATGTGCTGGCGCTCATGGAGAGCCATGGTGACCCTGCACCCGCAGCCGCCCCCTCGAACGGCCTGAGAAAGGTGTTTACAATGCAGAATCGAAGCCGGACGGCGCTGGGGAAGACCGACGGGCCCGAGACGGATCCTAGGAACAGAAGCTCGACCATTGAATCGAGGGCGGAGGAGGCGAGGCCGGCGACCAGCAGCGCTGCCTCGAGCCACAGCGACGCTCCCAGTGGCATCTCAAAGCTGCTCTCGGGGGCCAGAAGACGGACCCGGAAGAAGGGCAATTCGTCGACCTCGTTGAATAAGGACGCCGAGCAGGTCGAGGGCTACGACTGGCAGGCCGGCGAGTCCAAGGTCTCCCTGCCGTCGGTAGAGATCAATGGGCAGCGCCGCAGGTCCATGACAAACCCAGAGAGCAACCATGTCTCAGACTGCTCGGAATCAGACGTGTATGTGTCTTGCTCTTTTACCTTGTTGTCCCGCATGCTGGACGAATGCTGAATGCTAACAAATGTACAAAAAGTCACTCCCGCGGGGATCCGATAGCATCTACCCCCGAACTCGGCATCTATAAGGATGAGATTGACAGCAACGCCGGAGGACTACGCTCAAACACCGCATCAGAGGTCAGTTTCGACAGCTTCAAGGGTCCCTCCAGGAATCCGTCTACCTTGGGAGTCTCCCCAGATAGACCGTCAACCTCCCCAACCGGCCGGAAGCTAAAAGAAGCGTTCGTTCACCGGATGACGAACAGGAGCACCGATACCAGTCCCAACAGGAGCTCTGGGAAGCTAGCCGGCAGCAACAATGGGAAAGATTCCAACGGATCTGTAGATGGCGGATCTTCCGTGAGAACGCTACCACCTATACAAACGGCACCGCCGTTGCCCCATTCAATTATAACATCAACTTCCCTTGACGCTGGCCGTCAAGGAGCTGATAAACCCGCCCCGTTGAACGGAAATCCCCAGACTCCTCCAACGTCCAGGAACGCACCGGAAATAGTCACCACTGTCACCCCTCCGACTCCTACTAACCGCGAGTTCAATTCCCAGCACACTCTTCTGACCAATATCGTCAACTCCCCGGAATCTACTACCCAAAATGATACCCCGGATCAGCCATCCAACATTGTTGTCAGCCCTTCAGGCAACATGATATCCCACCGCCGCGTACGGTCAGCGTCTGCAGCTCACCAATCAAGTAAACTATCCAATTCATCAGTCCCTCCTGTATCACCGGCCCCAGAAGACCCCAAGTCTCAGGGAAAGTCGTCTACGTCACAATTTGGAGCGGGTTTCTTCTCGTCCATGGTTTCTGCGGCACAGAATGCCGCCACAACTCTAAGTAGCAGCTTAAATCCCCAGGCCAAAGGCAGCAAGACTTCTCAAGAGCAGAACAACACTGAGGGGGATACTCGAGACTCGGGCGAGCAAGAGAAATCTGGAGCTACCCCTGGAGGCGAGGAAAATGTCGCCCCACAGAATGGCAAAAAGGAGCTGGCCGTCAATACCCTGGGTACGGGTGATCTTGACTTTAGTCATCTTGGACTAGAGCATCTTGAAAAGGCCGCAGGTGACGGTGAAGGCAGCAAGTTGGACGTTGCTGGAAGACCTCGTGCAAAGACTGCAGTCTCACAACGTGACGAACTTGCTGCGCGCATGGAAGACGTACGGGCTGCTCGGGCTGTCTCTATGGCCTATGGAAATACCCCAGTAACTCCCATAGTTACCGTGGACAGCATTAACACAGACAACCAGCCTGCAAACCCTTTGAACACCGTGGTTAGAGATAACGCTGGTGAAAATACTCCGCCGGGAGGCAGTGTCCACAGTGAGACGGCCGAAAGTCTTAAACAAAACGGCAGTCTTAAGAGCCGCCGTGCTCGCAGGGATCGTGGGTCCTCTGCCGCTACAACAAATACTACAATCGGTGCACCGATCGGAACAAACCTCACTGCAAGGAATACCAGTGTCCCCCGTCTCACCGGGTTCGCCGTTGCCAGTAAGAAACGAAACCGTGACTTTCATTCGCTTTTCCGCAGTGTTCCCGAGGACGATTACCTGATTGAGGACTACAGCTGTGCACTACAGAGAGAGATCATTCTTGCTGGCCGACTGTATATCTCCGAAGGCCATATCTGCTTCTCAAGCAATATCTTGGGATGGGTAACCACGTTAGTCATCGCCTTCGATGAAGTCATCGCTATAGAAAAGGAGTCTACAGCCATGGTTTTCCCAAATGCCATTGCCATACAATCCCTGCATGCGCGCCATACCTTCCGCAGTTTGCTCAGTCGAGATGCAACGTACGACTTGATGGTCAATATCTGGAAAATCAGCCATCCGACCCTCAAAAGTTCCATCAACGGAACGCATATCGACCAGGGTACTGGAGACAAAACTGAAAAGACAGATGACGTCTTTGACGAGAGTGCCTCGGACTTGGATGACGATGACGAGATGTACGATGAAGATGAAGACGGTGCTGAGATTACTAATAACGGAAGCGAAGACAACAGTGTAGCGGGCAGCGAAGCACCGGACCAAGCACAACGCGTACTTCGCAAATCCTCTACCGTACCGCTTTCTGCTATGGGGACTCCGCAGGCTCCCGGTCCCGGTGAAGAAACAAAGTCTGGCGAAAACGGAACCAGTTCAAGTCCGGAGTTTCCGGGTCCTAAGACTCATGCACCAACGGAATACAACGACCCTGCTGGGCGTTTTGACAAACTGATCAAGGATGAAGTTATTCCCGCTCCCTTGGGACAAGTGTACGCTCTCGTCTTCGGTATTCCTTCGGCTGCCTTCATGTCCAAATTTTTGGTTGATTACCAGAAAGTCACCGATCTTCAATTCGAGGATGACAAAAAGGGTCTCACGAATGAATCCAGGACCCGGTCATACAACTACATCAAACCGTTGAACGGAGCAATCGGCCCGAAGCAAACAAAATGTATCAGCTCTGAGCAACTTGACTTCCTCGATCTTGAGAAGGCGGTTCTTGTCACTCTCACCACCCAGACCCCAGACGTACCCAGTGGGAATGTCTTTTCAGTGAAAACTAAATACCTCCTCACCTGGGCCCCTGGAAACGCCACAAGGATGGTCATGTCGTGCCTTGTAGAATGGACAGGCAAGAGTTGGATTAAAGGTAACTAACGCACTGGTCGTCATCAGTTCCATATAATTTCTTTTTTTACTAATAGGCTGCTTAGGTCCAATCGAAAAAGGTGCTAGCGATGGCCAACTTAGTTTCGGCAATGATCTCGTCAAAGCGGTCAGAGCTGCAGTTGCCCGCGGTCCTGGAATCAAAGCCGGGCCAAAGGGCAAAGGAAGACGCATCCGCATGGCAGCCGAAATGGCAGTTGCCGCCAAAGACCAAGCTGCTCTGGATTCCACCAAATCCCAGCCCGACAACGGCTTACTGTCAACCCTCTATAGCCCCTTTGCTCCAGTGGTAGACATCATAAAGCCATTCTGGAGCAGCAATATGACTATCGGTGTTCTTGTGATTCTTCTCGTCACCATGTGGTTCCGTGCTTCCGTCCCTGGCTATCCAACTTCTAGAGCTGGGCTCACGTCTCATTCCGCGCCCGACCGGCTAATTGCATTAGAAGAACTATGGCACCGAGAAGAGAATGAGCTTTGGGACTGGCTGGAGGAGAGAGTAGGGCTAGATGGTCTCTCATTCCCGGTTGTTGATAACGCGCATTCCCGAGACGACAAACAGCAGCCCAACCGCCGTGCTGAAAAGGAGTTTGAAAGTCGTCTACATCGCGATAGAATGTCTGAGCGTGAAGCCGAAAATGCCATCCGAGTTACACAAGAACGCCTCCAGACTCTGCAGAAAATCGTCGAAAAGCGGAAACAGAACCGCGAGGCTTCAGTAGAGGAACAGGCCGAACCTCCCTCAACATGACAGGCAGGGCAAGAATATTTCTTTCTAATATCTTGCCTTAAGCCTGTCACTTTCATTATAACTTCGTTTACCAAACGAATCTCTGCGTTGCTGTTTTCTATTCTTTCCATCCCTGTATATCATACATTCGCCTTACACAGGCTGTTTCCTTTGTTCCTGCATAACCGCATGTTTTATTTACCGTTGGGCGTATATCCTGGTTCAAAAACGTCGAGTTTGTTTGCTCTCCTTTTCCTTGCTGCTTAATCGAGTGTTGGAGTTAGGCTGGCGTGCTATCGTTTATCATATTCTCTATGTATCAAACCAATTTATCCCAAATGCATTTTTTAAGAAACCCTTCATACAACTATCGTGTTTCTTATTAACGCTGCATAGGTAGGCCTGCTTTTCTCTATACCAACTACGAGGAGTGATGGTATTCAGTTCATGCTGTTTGCACCTTTTCCCGAGTTGAAACCAATATATTTAGTAAATGCAGAAAAAAATAAACAGAGAAGATAAAAGCCAGCTGCATCATTAAAGAAAAGGAATCAATCATCTAAAACTTCTTCTCAAGCCCTGTGTGAATATCTACCATCAACGCATTTAGCTCCTTCGTATAGTCACCTCCACCCTCGATGTCTAGGGCCTTGGTAATCCACTTTTGGGCTTCCTCCCATCGTCCCATCTCAACAAGACACTTTCCGCCTCGCCACCAGGCTTTTCCATTTCCCTGCTCGTTACACTCCACGCTAAGCTGTGCATCAACCCATGCTTCAGCCCAGAGTTGCTGCTGCATGTAGGCCTGTGCTCTGTTTGCATAAAGCGCAGATAGCTCCTCACGCACTAAGCCCACAGGTTCCCACGCTGGTCGCCCAAGTGCCATCTCAATCGCAAGGGTGTACATCTTGATGGCCTCCGCAAAGGAAGACTTTCGATAAGCAGTGTTGGCTGTGTCGCGGAGTTTCGCTATTTGTGCGCTTCGCTTGGGATTTACGGGTCGAGGTGGGGGAGGGATATTTGGGGGATCAAGGCTGAGGAGAGTACGGTGTGTTTGGTTTATGGCTTCGAGTAGGGCATTGAGCTCGGCGGAATTGGAAGTGGGGTCTGAAAGCGCTTTGGACTGTGAATCAATGTGTATCGGGTATTGTGTGAAGGTCTCTGCGTCTGAAGCCATGGTGATATATAAACTGTCTATCCCGAATCGAAGGCTGCGCACGGCCTTGAGGAATATAAGAAACAGGGGTTGATGGAAGGGCCTTATTCAACGGCGTTGTGATTGAGTTCCTGACTGAGGAATTTTGTCAGTTATTTTTTGCCTAGTTGTACGCCAGGAGATTTGGGTTATGCTAACCTTTGGTACTAATATAGTTGGATATTTGAATCTGCTCGGTGAAGGGCGGGTTTGTTCAATCGAGATACCTGGTGATGCTTGTAGCAAAAGTGCTGCTGCCAAACCGACATTGAGACCAACTTGTTCTTCTGCGATATAGCGCTAGTCCAAAATTAGACTAGTCAATTATTGCCTTCTAGAATAGCGCTCGGACCACACTCTAACTCCACGAAATCTAAAATAGGAAACTCATGAAACCGCACAAAACTTGATGTCTATGATGTGAAGTGAAGAAGCTGAGGTTTTCACGCGCATTTAACTATAAAGATGATCACAAAGGGGACTTCTAGCAATACCAGGCTTATTTGTTTTGATATCCGATTAATTTCTTCTCCTAGGTTTGTCGGAGTAGCTGTTGCCTTTCGGCAATTCAATATAGCTGTTGCCCTCTATTTCACCCGATACTCTCACAGATACGGATATCGACAGACACATCCCTTCCCAATGGAAAGTCTATATATAAAGAACTACTAAATGAGGTTTAATGCATATTTAGATGAGGCCCAGCTCAACGGAGTACCTGATTTTAAAAAAATTAGTCCGTCTCATAGAATACCGTATTATCTTGGTCACAAAGAGAAACAATCTTGGCTAAAATCTCCTTAGAAGTATCAACAACGCTCCGCAAGAACCTATTCGGCGAAAAGAAATTGGGCTCGTCTACACTGATGTCTCTTTGTCCGCTGTGTTGCACAAGCGGCTTTCACTTGCTTTGTTTCTCACCTGTGACCGTGGACGATCCCCTGCGCCTCCTTTACCTCGAACCGAGGAATATATTTATCCTTCAAGAAGTGCATAGTGCTGGTGGTTTTTAACTCTATACCCTTGCACATTGTAGGAGATATTTACCCAATTATGAACTCATGGTCCTTGTTCTGACAACCTGCCTAACCGCTTGTTGTGGCATAGCCCAAATGGAGCAGCATGATAGCCATGCATGGAACCGCTCTTGAAAGTTTTGTTTGTTACTTGGGGCCAGTTTAACAAGCACCTACCCACTCTGGTCTGCAGTACCACAGTACCGGTCTCAATTCCAATGCCCCGGCTTCTATGGTCATTTGGGGGGTATTGTTAGTTATAACAGTTTTTTTATGAAAACCGTGGCTTATACACCATGATGTATGTATATCATATATCATCCACAGGAGATACCACTAATCTTCAGTTGATTAACGTGAATTGAACTCCCCAACCTCAATTCTCCGTGTATACCGCAGTACCACTAGATTCTACTCTTTTTTTCGGCGGCATACAATTCATGATGTGGCACTCCCCCTTTTTCACCGCATTCACCCTTTTTCTAGGTTTCTTTACTCTTACTCTGGCCCTACCAACAAACAGTCTTGCAACTACTGGCCGTTTTACAGTCGAGCAAAGGCTCATAAAAACCTTTGAATCGAATTGGCCGCCGAAAGAACTATGGAGAGGCCTCAGGAAACATCACAGACCTCTACCACCAGCTGTCTCTCGCATAGCTACGCACAGAGGCCCTTCTGCCAATGGTACCGTCAAAGTTACTCCTGATGAGTACAATACTGAGTTCGTTAATGAAATTACAATCGGAAATAATACTCTCTTCGTTGATATTGACACTGGTTCTTCTGATTTGTGAGCCTTATCATTCCATTCGTCTTTGCTCCGGACAAAATGGCTAATGTACTGGGCCTATATAGCTGGGTTTTTTCGTCCCAACTTCCGGAACGATCACAGCTGAACCATCGCATCTATCATCCAGAAAAAACAGGAACAAAACTCTCCAAACAGATTTGGGAAATCGGTTACGGTGATGGAACTGGAGCTGCTGGAAATGTATTCTTAGACAAAGCCAGTCTCGCCGGATTGGAAGTGCCTTCCCAGGCTGTGCAAGCAGCGACATGGGTTAGTTATCAATTTGCAGACCAAACAGTTACAGACGGGGTTATTGGTTTTGGATTTGATCATTTTAATGGAGGCAAGCCACATATCCTTCACTTGTTTGGGTTAACAACTTGCTAACATATATATCCATAGTAACACCAAAGAAGCAAAAGACTTGGTTTGGGAATATTATGGAGAGGCTCGAAAAGCCTATCTTTACTGCTTGTCTTAAACATAAGGCTCCTGGGTTCTATGACTTCGGTTTTATTGACAGAACGAAGCATATCGGGAACCCTAGCTATCTTCCTGTTGATAATTCAAGAGGATGGTGGGAAACTACCTTCAATGGATTTTCTACTGGGCGCAATGATAATTCTACATATCGATTTAGAGCGGTTGTTGGTACGTGGCCATGAACTTATGGATATCATGAACTATGTCATACTTACAATATCATCCAGACACTGGAACTACGTTCTCGCTTCTACCCAGGGAAATTACCGAGCAATACTATTCCTTGATCACCGGTTCGACATTTGATAGAGAGAATGGAGGCTGGACATTTCCATGCAACACAACCCTGCCAGAATTTGCAATTCATATCAATGACTATAAAGCCATAGTGCCCGGTGAGCATATTAACTGGGCACAGATCCCAGGAACCAACACATGCTTTGGGGGAATTCAGTCGGTGGACCGGTCACCTGCTGTGCTTGGGGGATCATTTTTAAAGAGTCAATTCGTTATTTTTGACCACGATGGTCCTAAGATGGGGTTCGCAGCTCAGCGATGACCCTACATATAACATCCTCCTTGATTATAGAAGTTTGGCATTAAGTAACCTTATTCTAAGACCCGGTAGGAATTTGAAATTAAAGTGCTGCCTGAAGGTAAGCATAACGGTTATAATTCAGGATAGTGAATTTTAATTTGAACAATTACTTTCCCAGCCCAATGTTTTAAAGTAAGAAATGAGAATAAACTAAACGGCCTTGCTTGATTCATTCTGGAGCCCTTCTGGGTTGGATCCTTCTTTTACCTGGCTTGGTGTCAAAGAGTAGCTCGGCTTTACGTCAAGAGCAGGGCTACGATCAAAAAAATTCCGAGGCCGGAGAAGTAAAGATACAGGTTCGACTGGCATGATTGGGAAGTCTTCTGGTGAGGGAAAGTGGGCTATTCCAAATGTGTGCCAGACAACTATATCAGTATTGTGGATGGACTGATTTGCTGTACCTGATATCCAGGCCGGAAGGCCTTGAGACGGTTCCCCCGAAGTTTGAGGGACATGCCGTCCAGCGGGGTAAATTTGGTCATCCGAATCTGAAGAATACGTCATTTACCGTGGTTTTATCTGAATAAAGAAGAAGAAGAAAGGAAGAAGAAGAAAAGAAGAATAATTATGCCGTAAAGTGATGGAGGCTTACACTTGGTAACGTGAATAGCATGTCTAGCAAACCCAGCTCGTTTCCAGACTAGACTTCCTTCCTTTGGGAGAAGAGAAGGCACTTCCCTACTTACTAATTTGTAACTTACGGGCATTTTACTATATTTATTCAATTTGTTGATGTTGGATATTTCCCATGTACGGCTTGATGATCCATCGTAGTCTGCAACGGACTCGGATGGAGTACAATATTTTGTCCTTTTGGCATAAAAGGCGTTTCCATATTTGTTCTGGGGACTTCCAATTTCACCTGGGCCACGGACAGCGTCAACTTGGAAAACGGTGTTATTTGGCCCATCGATATTTGGATCTATACGTAGGCAAAATAGATGTTGATGATTGTGTGCATTTACACCAGGGTATACTTGGGTGCCCCAGCCTTTGGTATCCTCTCCAGGATTCATAGCATAGGTATTCAAGATTCCAGTGAGTTTTATTTCCAGTTGGATAGTGCCGTCTTGGTGGAATATCCAGTACACGCAATATTCATAGTTGGCAGCGGTAAATATGTGGGATACGATCAACTTCTGGCTCCTAGTGATAATGGTGGAATTATCCCTGAAATCAGTGTGCTTGAACAGAATTCCAGCATCCTCTTCGTGAATACAAATGGCATTCTTGATAAGTGTGCTTGCACCTGCAGCATTGACAAATGCTGCATCCATATAGTGTATGGTACCTTTGCAGTCACAGCCTAGGTTGAGACTGTTCGTCAAATATCCAGCTCCATACTCTCCTATATCAAAGGCGTGTTTTCGTTGGTGAGGATGTTCCGGATTTCCATAAGGAACAACCATCTCTGCAAGAGACAAACGATAAAAAACTGGCCTACACTCTCCTTTGTCGTTGAAGGTGATATTGTGAAGTACGATTCCCTCTCGGTGATTAAAACCAACGTGAAACTTCCAGTTTTGCCATTCTACGTGACGGCCTTCAACCTTAAATGAAACACCGTCCGGTTGAGTGATGTGTATAGGTTTAAGATCTTTCCTGAACCCTCCCTCTTTTTCTATCGCTTTGGGGTGGTAATTTGACGGTGGCGCTTTGCTCACATGTCGACGGATGACCGGGACATCAATGTGGATGAATTTCATGGTATTAGGGTTGAAAATGGGACAAAAATCCAGGGGGTAGGCGTACTGACAGTCGTCTATTTCGGGCCGGTAGTACATTAGTGCTTGCTGAAGACGGTCACTGTTGCCGAACCTTTCATCGTATCCGATAGTCCACGCTATCAGCAAACGTCAGCTACAAAGTAAACCCGAGAGCATTCAATATTGTTACGAACTCACGGTCACAATACACTCTATGCATATCTTCTCTGGGTATGCCTATTGCCTCACACTGTTTAATGATATCCTCATCCTTTCTGGCCATATGTTCGACAAATTGCAAGTCTTCCATCGTTACCAATGGCTGAACGCCTTTCACCAGATTCCATTCAACGATTGCGTTGGTAGTTAGATCAACTATTCCATCATAGAGTTTCCCACCAGGGGTAATAGCAACGACTTCTGCGGCTCTATGTGGTCTAGGAGAGTTCCCAGGGTTCTCAAGCCATTCCATCATCTGAGCTTTTCGTGGTTCCGATAAGGTAACAGTATTAAATTTGAGAGGTCCATCATGAGCCTCTCTGACTATGGCAACGGCCGCATCAATTTCAGACGTGGAAAACGGGTCAAATGGATGCATTTGGGTTTCCTGGGAGTCTCCAACCTGGGAGGGCTGTTGATTTACTCTTTCAAAGACCATGATGGTATAGGAAAGGTGGAAGTATAGGTCATGGGCTATAGTATGTGGATAGTAAAATGGGTAAGAGTAAATCCTGGATGTAGTGCGGATTCATATATAAAGCACACGGAATTCATATGACAATTATTACTGAGACCATTCAATGCGGGGAGGGCAAGGGCCGGCGAGTGCATTAAAGTGCATTCATGTGTAACGGCATGGAGTGTAAGTATACCACCCTGCTGAAATTTCAGTGACCTAGGTTCCGTATTGGACTGCAGGAATACCCCACAGCAGGGATTGCTTATAATCTAGTCCAAGCATATGCATGCATGTTACTGGGTATCTAGAAGAGCGCCATAGCTAATGAAAGATGGTTTATGGAGAAGAAATGAAGAAGAGGATGTGGTATATACTCCGTGCTCGCAGTTAATGTACGTCCGAGTTTCCTCTTTGGGATTTCTACAGGATTATGTAAGATTACCAATCCCTAGTTATCAAAAAAAGGGACACCTTGACATCATTTGCCCGAGAGAGAGAGAGAGAGAGAGAGAGAGATCTACTCTAGTATGCTACCAGCAGGGGGAGTCTTGAGGATCATATAAGAATAGCCCGCCGCCTCCGTCAAATAACAAGAACAAGCCTCGATTCGTGGCAGCCCATCTAGAGCCGAAGAGTATAACCCGGTTTACCAAACATTTACGAGCCAATGCACACAACCCGTCTGCCAGCCAAATCCCACCTCGGCAACAATATAAAAGAGAAGGCGAAAGAGAATAGGGTAGAAGATAGATATAGAGAGAAAAGACACCGTGTGAATGAAAAAGTAAGCCCATTTTTTCAAAACGCCAGGACACTCTTGTACAACAAAGTGGTTCAAGCTCAACACAAACACCACAAGCTGAAAATGCAAGGAAGAAAACACCGAGAAGAAAAAGAACATTCGTGTCGTAGAACACACAAAGCGCCATCCTCCAAGTTTTCTAGGGAAATGTTATAGATAGTTAAAAAGGATGTTGGGTTTTTTGTCGTTTGTGCGGCTATCCTTCATATTATGGGTTTGAGTTTGCTTCTTATCTTAGGATCGTGGGTGGAAATTCGCATATGCACCGGTTCCGGGGGTTATGCTACCTGTCTGACGGCCGGGTGTTTGATGGCTGTTCAACGCTGCGTGGCCTGTGTTCGGCGTACTAGGTGTTCCTGCGGCAGAGTACATAACAGTTCCATTAGGACCGGGGGTTTGGAGGGGCTGATTACCGGGATAGAAAGGCACGGCAGCAATCTGGCCATTGAGCCCCCAGATCTGGCCGGAATATTTGGATCCATCGATGTTTCCGTTGAACACAAGCTGTCTGATTTTCCAGAAAATCTCACCGGTGACGAGGGAGTCCGAACCGGCTTGGTGGGCAATGCCTACTCGCTTGACTCCTAGCTCATCAGCAATGTCCTGAAGGCCGGACTTCTGGCCAAGGTTGGCTATAATCTGGGCTGCAGCATGGGTTAGTGGGGATCCATTGGCGGTTTGATTCCGACCGGCGTGTTTCATGAGGTATTTTATATCAAAGAGTGAAGGGAAGAATATGTTGAGGAGTCTGTGAAAGTCCTTCTCGTCATCTGGCAGGGGCTTGCACAGCATAATCTTCATGAGATAGCCAAAATCGTATCCGGAGTGGAAGGAGATCCAGTGAACGTCATCAAGCAGGACGAGTCCAGAGCTCATAAGCAAGGCTCCAAAGTCTAGCGGGTCAATGCCGTTCTTTTCGTGGAGAGAAAAGTCGATACCAGCCTTGGCCAGCATACTAGTAGATTCTTGGGCGTACATGTCGTTTTCGAGAGAGAACTTGAAGTTAAATTGCCAGGTACACGGTGCGGGTACCAGGACGCCATTATACCCTTCTGAGTTCGCATGCGTAGCCGTAACTGGAGGAACTTCCCCGTCCTCGGAGAAGAGGGTGATTCCGAGCTGTATCATCTTTAAGAGGTCAACATTACACCGTAGAGTCTGGTAGTGGTAGTCTGCTTTTGTGGTAAAGGTGCCCATGGGCCGGGCGACTATGCCTGGGAACTCCGTGTCCTAGACGCTGTTAGCCACCGCCGACTAACAGTAAGAAGTCACTTTTTTTGTTTATGAGGGGGATGGATGGGCTACCATGCTGATGTATGGGTATTTCTCTACTAATGACCGTAGCATGGCCATTTCCTGCGCCAGATTGTGCTTCCAGACATCACGTATCCTCGATTTGACGGCGTTACTCTTAGTGTCCATGGTGAGGCGACCGTCATGGCCTAGATGAACCTGCTGGACTTGGTGCTGTTGTAGTTGCTGTTGCGCCTGTTGCTGTTGTTGCTGCTGCTGTATTTGAGCACCCCTTACAAACCCCATCTGTGCGGCATGGCTGGCGAGTCCGGTGCCACTCCCGTCGCCCAGCACCCCCGCGCCCGCTCCGGTAGGGAAGCCGGCAACTCCAATACCATTGGCACCGGGTATACTGAAGGGATTGATGCTTGACTGGGGGTTGCTGGGCCCGAACCCGGGGTGTCCGCCCAGCGAGGGAGGGGGCAGGCCGGCGTTGGACTGCGGATGCCCAGCGTGGTGCTGGGTCTGCTGCTGCTGCTGCTGCTGAAGATGTGCTTGCTGGAGGTGTGGGAAAGGGGCCGTCATGCCCGAGGGGCCATAACGGTTGACCGGCGGCGGCATCGATGCTACGAAGCGCGAGATGTATCACTGCGTGAGGGGGGTGAGGAGGTCGAAAGGAGCATCAGGATGTGAGAGAGCGGTTGGCCAAGCACCAGGCACCTCAACCCTGCGCTGTCTGCTCGCAGTATCGTTACTCCGGCGGTGTCTCCCGGCGTGTCTCCTGGGTCCGGCCGTTTGCTTGCTGTCGCTGTCTCCTGGCGGTCGGTTGTCTGCTGGCAGTCCGTCGTCGTCGTCGTTGTCGTCGTTGCTGGCTCTTGCTGGCTCGTCGCTGTCGCCGTCGTCGTTCTTTTCTGCGTCTTCGTCGTCTTCAGCTTCGAACTTCGCCAAGCCCCGTTACCGCATCCGGTTAGAAGCTCCCGCGGCCAACATATCGAACTTCACTGAATTTCGACGACGGCCGAACTTTGGACTTCCTGCAAACCAGACCCGACCACGCCAGACACGCCGGCATCGAGCCTCAATTGACCTGCTGCTGCGTCCGGAGCACAATAGCGGGCTTACTGTGGACAGCGGACTGCAAAAATCCAGACTAGCCAGACGACCGTCGACTCCTTTTGCTGCATTATTTGTTGGACCCCTCCGCCTACGACAAGATGGCGCCTCCAAACCCAACCGGCTTCGACATGAAGACCTTCAAGGCTGCGGCCTCTCCTACATCAGAATGGGCGCTAAGGGATCCATGGAAGCGACAGTACGTTTGGCCAGCTGCTTGTGTTTCTTCGCCATATTTTGGTTCAGGTTTGAAGCTAACTTGGAATGTTTGTATAGTGAGGCATGGAGATACACAGGCCCATTCTCCCGATGGAACAGATTCAAGACCGGCTTCCCAGGCCTCGGAATTGCGACGGTTGCCTTTGCCATATACTGCGGATACGAGTATGCGTTCCTGAATGACAACCATCACGGCCACAAGGAAGAGGGTCACCATTGAAGTCCATCGACAGAAGGAAACAAGACGCAAAGAAACAAAAGCAATTCAAAAGGTCGATTTGAACGTCCAGAAACCAAACAGACTTTATAGAGCTACCCGCGGGAACCCCCATTTTTTTTATCTTGGAACGGAGGCTGAGATTCGGAATCCAAGAGTCGTTGTACATATTCTACTGAAAGGCGCAAATGGGAACAACAACTTTGTACTATTGAGTCCTTACTTTTTTTCTTATTGCCTGATTTATGTACGGCTAACCTACTTTTTCACTTTTCATATTCACATCAGGTCTATGCTGGTCCGTTGTGCTAAAAAGAGAAATAACCCATCTACCACAATTCTTCATTTCCATAGATGTAACACCCCTTACTCTTCAAATACAAGAGCTATACCATCATCACCGGCAGTGACTATCCGTCTGCCTTCCTTATCTCCCTGTACAAAGCCTAATATTCCACCAGACTGTTCTCCCTCTTCATTCTCAGATACACCAACATGACCTCTCCATTCTTTCAAAAGTCCATGGCCGGCAGCTACAGTGCCGCCGCGGGTATCCCATCGTCTTACCACTCCATCCATTCCGACGGAGGTAAGTAACCATGGTCTGCCCGATGATGTACCAGCAGAGGCAGTATTGGTCTCGCAGTGAACGAATTCCACCTTCACCACAGCTGTTTCTTCATGGGCTCCACGGATATGTCGTCTAACAGCGAATCTATGCGCAACGTCAAACAGAGCAATGGACCCATCCACTGAGCCAGCTGCGAGGAGGTTTAGCGGAGGAGAGGAGAAAGACAGGGATTCAATGCCGTCTGACTGAGCTTGGAGAGAGGCAAGAAGAGTGCCGGCCCCGGAACCAGTAGCTGCGCCGCCGCCTCCTTTACCTTTAGCCTTGGACTTTGCAGAGGTATCTGTCAAACGTGGAAGTCCAACGACCTTGATATGACCTTCTGCACCACCAACGACAGCAAATGCGCCCGAAGGCGAGATAGCAACCGAATATAATCCCCCTTCCACAGCGAATCTCTGGTCCTGGACCGTCAACGCAACAACCGACTGCGTACCGGCAGAAGCAGTAACTCCAGCAGCAGCCGCAGCCCCAAACACATCATATACGTAAAAGCTACCTTCTTCAGAGACGGTAGCCAGCAATTGTCCGTCCGGAGTCCATGCGCCGGCAGTACAAGGCGCCGTATGCTGGAAATAGGTAGCCACTATCGTCAACGGTTCTGCGGCCTCCTCACTTGCATCCACACGGTACACCCATACACTACCATCACTGGCACCGATAGCAACCACATTCTTCGTTTGCTCATCGTCGCCGGCCTTACTTGACGGACAAGTAGCGATCCAGTTAATCTCCTCGACTTCCTGCGACTCAGCCAGGAACTGCCATGCCCTGCCCGCCAGATTCTCACTTGTATCCTTCCAGGCACGTAGTTTCCCATCCAGACCAGCAGTGATCACATATTCACCTCTTGGAGCAGTAAAGCACACGGCGTTTACCGAGTCCTTGTGTCCGTCTAAATGCGCTATGACGGGGAGGGATTCTCTCTCTTTACTTTGCTGTGGTGTTGTCTCGTAGCTCTTCGGCAGCAGCGGTTTCTCGGCCGCGGCAGTCTGGCTGGAGTCAAATATGTATGCGGTATCGTCTCCGGAGCCCGTTATTATGATTTCAGGGTGGATTGGGTGCTGCGCGATGCAGAATATCGAGTCTGTATGCCTATCGAAGTGTGCGGCGGAGTCGTTCTCGAGCAGTAGCTCTTCGTCCTCTTCTTCCATCGGGTGGTCATCGTCGACCTGGACTATCTCTTCTGCGTCTGCATCGTCTATGAATTCTTCCTCCATGTGCTCTCCATGGTCCTCGTCCATCGGATCTTGTTGCTGGCGCTCCGGCATCTTGTCCTTTGGTATTTAGTTATTGCTTTGCGATAAAATTTTGGTTGGAGGGGCGAGACGAGGGGCAGTTCGGAGCAGAGGGATAACTAGCTATAAATCAACGGAATATGTATCATGATAGCTCTAACAGGATTTATCTGGAGAGGAAATTCAGAGTATCACAGACGATATTGAATATTTATAGCTTTCTTGAAAATAAAGTGGACGGAAGAAGCTGGTAGAAGGTTTGTATTCACAATGCGGTTGATTATAAATATGACAGTCTACGCTGACAAAAAATCACTATCAAAACCAACTATGTGCCTATGTAAAGGGAGAAAATCTACAACTTCGCCTTCGCCTTCTGTCGAGCCTCCTTCTCGCGGTCTCGGAGCAGACGGCGAAGGATCTTGCCGCTGGGACTCTTGGGAATGACATCTATGAACTCGACGCCGCCCTTTAGCCACTTGTGCCGGGCCTTGTGCTCTTCCACAAACTGCTGGATCGACTTGATGACAGCCGCATCGTCTTTGCCGGCAGCAGAGGACCCCTTAACAACAAAGGCCTTCGGTAGTTCTCCAGCCCGCTCGTCGGGTACCGGGATGACAGCACAGTCGGCAACGTCAGGGTGAGAGAGGACGTGAGCTTCGAGCTCAGCCGGTGCAACTTGCATTCCCTTGACCTTGATCAGCTCTTTTATCCGGTCGACAATGAAGAGATGCTCTGTTCCCTTTGGGGAGACACGGAAGACAACTTCGTCTCCCGTACGCATCCAGCCGTCCTGGAATGTCTCTGCGGTGGCTTTTTGGTTGTTCAGGTAGCCCAGGACGACGGTAGGGGAGCGGACGACCAGCTCCCCTGGCTGGTCGTAGCCGGTCAATTCAACGCCTTCGGGAGAGACGACTTTTGCTTCAAAGCCAGGGAGGAGACAACCGGATGAGCCCAGCCAGGTGTCGTAGATGCTTGTAGATGAGACCACTGTGCAGGTTTCAGTGAGACCTGCATGCAATGCGATGTTAGTGTATCTGTCTGAGAATAGGTTAAAAGGGGTCATCCAGGACCTACCGTATCCCTGTTTTATAGCCCAGGACGGCTTCCAGGCCTGTAACTCTTCTGCCGTCTCCTTGCCCAGCGGTGCGGCTCCCGTGAAAATGGAAGAGACACTGGAGAGATCTACTTTGTCACAAACTGCCTTGTTTCGCAGCATTGCAATGATGATTGGAGGCACTAGGAACAATGTGTTGATCTTATACTTTGCAATGGCTCCCAGGTACTGAGCCATGTCGAACTTGGGAAGGACAACTAGAGAGTCTCCTCGATAGGACCCAGCATGGCACAGGACAACGAGTGCATAGATGTGGCTCTGAGGCAGCAGGCCCAGGCTGACTACCGTAGCCGAACCTCCCCTTTTAACACGGGCCTCTCGTTCTGGCTGCTCTTTGACCCTGATCTGCATGGTGTTTGCAATGACATTCCTATGCGAGATCATCACGCCTTTCTATACATAAGGAGTGTTAGTTGGCTGTCGATACAAGAGTATTTCGAGAGATTTAATATACATACCGGAAGACCAGACGTACCGCTGGAATAGCACAGGAAGGCCGTCTGTTTAGCAGCTTGACCAGGCCCCCATTTGGCCCTCTCAACCGGTGGAAGCGAGTATCCCTCCGTGATGAACTGCTCCAACGTCTTGAAGCCTGCGGGTGTCTTCGCTGAGCCGGTAAATTCAGCAGGTAGGTCAATGATATACACCCGGCTCTTGGGTATCCCGGCCTTTTCGGCAGCTTCCAATGCACTTGGCAAGGAAGGTAGACAGGTGAACAAGGCTTTGCAACGAGAATCTACCAGCTGATGGACGAGCTCTGACGCCGAGTAAGCTGCGTTGGCCGCGCTCACGATGCCAGACAGCCGATGCACCGCCCAGCAGAGAACCAAGTAATCGATCTATCTTCCAGTCAGCCAACTCTTATCGTTCAACACGAACACCCAACACCCATAGCAATAAATGAAGACCGCGATGGCTTACCGAGTTGAAGCTGTAGATGCCCACGACCTTCTCCCATTCGGTCCCCTGATTCGGATGCCAGCCGAACTCCCTTGCCAGCGCGCGGGAGAGTACATCAACGCGCTCCGCAACCTGGGATATCGAGTATGTCCTGCCCGTGAGGCCGCAGACAAACGGATCTCTTGACTGCGCGAACGGCATGCGACCGTTGGCCTCGTCCAGGATGAAGTCGCATATTGGTATATCATCAGGGACCTTGGGCAACTTCCCAGCGCTGGCAGGCGGATAAAACACCATCTGGTCGGCTCAGCAAATCAACTAGTTAGTTAGCTAACTAACCAGCAGCAACAGAAAGCAAGGCCTGTGTATTCCCCAGATCTCGCGGACGCTGTAGGAGTGGACTCCTGAATATATATAAGCTCTGCTGTCGCCGCAACCCCAGCCAGCCTCCACCCAGGGTTCGCTTCTCCACGCGCCTGACCCGGCCAACCGGCGCCCGAGCCGAGCCTTAACCGAGGCTGCGGCGTCAACTGGCTGTGACTTCGACAGCGACTTCGGCGATAAGATTTTTACTTGGTCTCATCAGCTTGATGTCTATCCGGTAGAAGATGTAGCTACTCGTGTTTCTCGAGCACTCCGAGGTTTCCCGGTCAGCCTCCAAAATACAGAATGATTGGATGCTTTTCCATTGAACGGAATATTCATCATGCCAGAAGTCAACTCAGTCGAGATGTTAACTTCATCCCTAGCCTACAGCGGCTTGGTTGTTGACTGACTCGGGGGTAAGACCTAAGAAGATATATATATATTGTGCCGCAAGGGCTTTCGTAACTATTTAATTAATATAAGAATAACTTCAACTTGTGGCTCAGTTAACTTATGCCTCGTAAACTTCCGTTGTCTCATTCTCTATTTTGCCTTCCTCCACTACCTACACCTGTTCACACTCCTTGTTGGCACTGAATTTGTAGGCTAAATAAAGGGCCTAGGGATTCCGAATAATACTGCCGCGGAAATTTTTAAAAAGATGCGCTGTCTCATTGCCTGCTTCGCATGCGCCATCAGACATTAAGAGCTCTGCCTGCTAATAGGAGTCGGCGAATCCTGAAACATATTAACTGATGGTCTCGCCTTCTTTGGAGTGATATAAATAGAGGTCGTGTTACTGTCAACCGTAGAGACGCTGCGCTTCTATATGGAGAGTTAGTTTGTTCTTATGTATTGTTATTTCTTCAACATTAACAAGAACATGGGCATACCCTATCCTTCTTTTGGTTCTTTGCATTCAGTGCCTCATGATATAGGAAACATCAGAGTTCGGTAAGAGGTAGTACCGCTTGATCCCTGTCGAATATTCGCTTCATCTCGAAGGCAAATTGCATGATTCACTCCACTCCGTAGATGAAATTGTGCAGGTTCCCATTCATTCTGAACTCCATATTTGGCTCGCGCGGACAACTGTGCCTGTAGGCCGATGTTATTTGGTTCTTCGCGGAATGTCGCGTATTTCCAATGTGTGGAGGCAGTGGTCCTTTCAAGGAAAGATTTATCAAAAGGTATCAAGGGGTTGAAAGCTCCATGACCATGGCTGCAGTTTGTCTTCCATTTGACTCCATATTGAAGCTGCTTCTTCCGCCCGGTAATTCGGGAGTTCAAGATTTCCTCCACCTCCCATTCTTCCTCACCACCTATAATTTCCGGGGATGGTGGATCTTGGACCTGTCCTGGTAGGGGGTCGTTGCGAGCTTTTCGTAATTTTTCGGGGGCAAAAACGTCGTGGTAGCGGTGTTCAATAGCTCTTTATTCCCTGTGTATGATATGCTGCTTCAATCAATGCATGCCATTTAGTGAGTGCTCTGCCGAAGATAGGCCAGTAGCTGCTCTGGCCTGTAAAAGACGCGCAAATTTTAATAATTTCCTTTGTATACCATGAGTGGTGGGTAGGTACCATCTCAATGGCCCCTTTCTGAAATTTTCGATGGAATACTGGATAGAGCAAGTCACTGTCTTCAAGTCTCATCTCCATCGTATTCGAATTCCGGGATCGGGTCATAATCGCCCTTCCAATGCTCTGAGGCGGGTACCTGGTCTGGCATCACGTACCGAGCAGTAAGAGCAAATCGAAGTCTACCAGACGGAATAACCGAGTGCTACAATTACGGTAAGCATTGGTCCCAATATGCACCTGAGTTGGGGTTAAGTGACTTACCTCGTAGTACTTTTGTAGATCCGGTCCATGCATCACAGCCAGGTCGCCATGGTTAAGTGCCATCGTACACATCGGAGGCGCCTCTCTTCTAGACGTGGGCAGAGCCTGTCGAGCAGCCAAGTACTGTTCTGAAGTAATTTCTTTGGCGTTGAACTTCCGTGCAAGCTCGGCTCTTGCTTCTTCGTTTGCGCAGCCTGGAAGGACAGGATCGTGCTGCAGATATACCTTGTCTTTACCATCTCTCTTGCGGAAGCCATTGTAGTACTCGTCCTTCATGCGTATGAGCATGGTTGCCGGAGCCCCGAGTGAAAGGGTGGCTATTGTTGGCCCCAGAGACGATTCGCCGTCATCATGGTACCCAATCGACATGTCCTCGAAGTATCCAAGAGCAAGGAGCTCATTGGGCATTTGGAAGGCATTAGCGTCCACTGTATGCCGTGTGGCCCATTTTAGACGTTCGAGAGCACTGATGATAACCGGTGGAGCGGTGTTAAATGGTCGAGAGTCCACGCTCACGATATACTTATATGGCATTCCCTATAAACATGGTATTAGATATAGAATATATAGTAGTTGAGGCTAGGGAAAGCCTACATAGTTGACAGCGAAGTGAGAAGTCAGGGTTCCAGCGACTAGATGGAGGATTAAATAGTTAGCTTTTGTGACCGAATAACTTTAGCATATTGAATACGGACAGATCAAGACTTTGTCTCTGGACATGTCTCAATTTTCGTTTGCTGCCCGAATGTTGGAACCAATACGGGGAGATACATTTAAGCGTTCCAAGAGAAGGAATAGAAGAAGAAAGAATAAGAAGAAAGAATGAAAGGGGAAACTTACCAACACAAGGAGAGATCGGGTATCGTCTGAGGCCTAGATCTTCACGTTGCATCAGGCTGAAGAGGTCGTCAGGCCCACCAGGACGGCTGTTTACCGTTCGGTTAGCTGCAAAATGGGTCACTATGCCGGCACCCGGAAGGACAAAGGTGTCCTTTCGGTAATTCTTCATGTACTGGATCATTGGCATTGAGCTGATATCCTTAGGAACAGTTGGTAGTCTGTGACCAGATGGACTCATCTCTAAATCAGGCAGTACGGATCGTAACGAGACATGGTTAATAGGTGGGCTGTATTGAAATCCACATCCGGCCGTCGAACATTCCCATCGTCTCCAATGGATTCGGGCAATACACGCTCTACACTGCGGGCAAACGATGCCCTTCCATGCCATGCGTGTGCCAGTGACATCCGTTTGATCATTGGAGAAAGTTGAAAGGAGGTCCGGTACCAAGCTGCAAGGAGGCAGGACAGCATTCTTTGGTTCGGACCGCTTTGTGAGAAACTCAGGGGCAAACGTGAGCTGGGATGGCGGCAGTGATCCTTCTATCTTCCAGAGTTCAGCGCACTGCGGGTTAAGACACATCCAGCCTTGAGCAAACACTTGAGCGGTCCCAATTGAGCAAGAGAGGCAGATAGGATCTGGTGCTGGAGTTACAGAATCGCGTTGTTCAAGGGGGACAGGGTCAGGAGAACCCTTGGGAGACCACCAGCTTTTTGTCGCGAGGTTGATCTTTTCGAAGCGCATCTGAGCGCCCTTGTGCTTTCCGACTTGCTCAAACCAGATGTCTGTGATTCTGAAGAAGTCCAGGACATTGAAATTGTACGGGACCTTGGTGCGACAGTCCGCGTTCTTGCTCCCTATCTTGCATGTTAGATAAGGAAGCGTCTAAAGGAGAATATCGATTGAAATTTAGACTTACCTAGTATGAGGCCAACAGGGATCTCAAGCCTCATAGAGTTGATGAGGGAGCGAAGAATGGGCCCGTTCGGATCATGGTCTTTGCTCATGACCAGCCTGCCTTCCTTCGTTTTCTTGCATGAGCCGCCCCTTTTCCTGAATTAGAGCTCATCCCGCCTCTGTGATGGGTTAAGAGATAACTTACACTCTGGTGATCACAACCTCATCGTCTATGTATGATCTATCCCCGCAGTCTCCATCAATGAGTACACCGCGGCAGATGTTGTCAAGGTAGTAGCAGCCTCCCTGTACTGAATGGAACCAGGGAAGAGCATCTCCAAGAACAACTCGGTCCTCAGCCCACACTGGAGGTTGACCGTATGGCTCCAGCAGGTCATCTTTGAGTACTGGAACAATGATCTCAGCCTGTCCAGCTTGGAGCTCGCAGCCATCTTTCTCAGTAGAAGAGCGGCTACTGGATCCGGATTTGGCCCAAGAGAGCAACGTGTTGGCTACAGCATATTAGTCAGTAAACATCCTAAAGTGCCGTATATCAGGCTTTGAAACCCGAAGAGGGTGGTTTGTGGTTGTGGTTGTGGTTGTGGCTGTGGTGGTATCTAAGGGGGATGTAGGTGTTTTGCTTTCACAAAAGGGGTAGTTGGTTAATTTCTTTCTCTAGACAGCCAACAGGACATTGTGGCACACGTGATATCGCTTGTTTTCCTATGGTATATTGAGAGAAATAGAGGAATGAGGACATCAAGTGAGTATAAATGAGGACAAGTAATGGTATCTCATAAGGAGTCTTCCCTGTTCAAATCCCAACATGCCTTCCTAATATCAATACAATAGTAAAGGTGGGTATATAACCAAGAGCCAATAACCAATATATGCAAACGTGGCTTATAAAAACATCGATAGATAGATATATCAAGGGATGATGGCCAAAAACATCAGTAATACATGGTAATGTATGACATACCCTGGAGTGTCTTCCTCTGGGAAGCTCTGGTCCTTCGAGTGACCCCAACACGACCAACGACCTTTAGTACGTCGTTCTTGGTTCCAACCATGACTCCGAAGACAGCTGAACCCGTATACGGCAATACAGGGATATCTTTGAGGCAGCGGGAGGATTGTTCCAACAAGGGTACCTTTGAGATAGCGGGGGAATTGTTCCAACAGGGATAGTTGCAATAAAGGAAGTAAAGTATTGAGCAGTGTATACCGGAACCTTTCTGAGGAATGCGAGGTTGGACTTGTCGACTTTCTCAGTGGGTAAGAAAGAGGAAAAAGGGCAGGATTCCCCCGGGGGAATAGCGACTTAAATAGAGCAGCCAGGTAGCCTCTTACCCTCCTTCAGGGAGGGAATATTCACCTCGAATCGTAAGTGCTGTTTTTTCGTCGACGGTGAAGCTCAATCTCGGTATGAAAGCAAAAAGTGAAATCGAATTCACAGACAGGGGTGTGAAAAACACCAGAAAGCCGAATAATCACAAAATAGTGAAATGTAAATGTCTCTCTGTAGTAAGAGCTTTCCACTCATGTTTGTGTTTCTCATGCACACCGTCAAGATTTTCGTATACAGTGAATGATAAATTTAATCAAAACACCACCGTATAAACACGAAGTAGCTGTTGGAGCGTAGAGGTCAGTTGCTGAAATAGGTAATATAGTTTATGGGATAGACTAACCGGTATATTCTCCTGAATAAGATTGAGAGTCGGGAAAAGGTAAGGGGTAAAGGTGAGATTGTGACCCCCGATGCGATGGTATATGTAACTTCTTCCAAGGCAAAATATTACCATATAAGAAGGTAGCGGTGTACTGTATTGTGGACTCAGCGTTAAGAGTGCGCGTAGTATGTCATAGTATGTCATGTATTCTGCAACCCCGGCAGCAGCGCCAACAGACGGTAGGGGTAAAGTTGAGAATGAGCCCCTCTACCCCGATGGTATAAGATATGTTATCTTCTTCCAAGGCGAAATACTACCATATAAGAGTGTTGCGATGCACTGCAGTGTAAACGCCGCCAGAAGGGTGCTGGGGCAATTTATATGGATGACCAATGCAGCGACATCATCGATAGGCGAAGGACGTTAGCATCCGTACTCTGATGCCGTCATAGACTGCAAGGCAACTTTGCCGAATAACTCAACCAGACAGAGTCCAAGTTGAAGCCATTCCATGGAACGGTGCTTATATCAAGAACTTTATCCATGAGTGCGTAAAAGGTGCCAGTTTCGGATGTGGTGGTATTGCTGGTGCTGTTACTGTCGATAGCAGTGATATCCCCGAGTTCTCCTAAAGGAAATACAGGTGAAGTGGGGATATTTAACGATATAATAGCCACGACAGTATGTGGTGTTGGTAGAGATGCTGGCCCCCGGAGGATATCCGGATCCCCTCCAGTACACAGGCTGCGAGTGCCAGAGGCAGAACCAAGGGACGCACCACATGGTGTATATATATGTCGAAGTCCGCAGTCTGCTGACAGAAGAGTCGTAGGCAGGAGGTGGAGATGAGTTTCAGGTATTGTATGAGCATATATCGAAGTATGACGGAGGAACATATTGGGAAATGAAAGACCATCTTGGGAAATGGAAGAACATCTTGGGAAATGGAGGAATATCTTAGGGAAAGGAGGAGGATGGTGATGAGAAAGGAAGAAGAAAGGAAGAGAAAGAAGAAGAGAAACGACGGCCCTTTTATAGACAAAATTTCCAGGTCCAGGCTAATTCTACGGTGACTGAGGCCCAGCTGCAAGAGGAATAGGGGGTCAGGGAGGAATCTGCAGTGATTCGTCTCATGCATTAACTGTTGGTAAACATGGCTCTGGAGCTGGATAAACAGTGAAAGATGAGACGGACAGTGAAGATATAAGACGGAATCCACAGGCATTTACTGCTGGAGACAGTGACTCTGCTGCTTCTTTCTTTGCAGGCAGTGAAAGAGACAGTGAAAGGGGGGACTCGGCCAGCGGCAGTCATTGAATACTGATATTGACTGTGACGCCTTGAAGATAAGACTCGATTCATGGTCTGCAGTCACCGTCACTGTCTGTCACTGTCTCTATCACTGTCTCTGCAATAGATACAGCCCGTAGATAGGTAGTCAATATCCTGCTGTCACTGTCTCAGGCCGTCGACTGGCATGGCTTTTCTCCTGTAACTAGTTAGCAGACACCTCCTGGTCGGGACAACCAGACGACTCCTCTACCACTATCACTATCTTCGTCATCATATTCGTCTTCTTCATCATGATCATCTTCGTCTTCTTCTTCATCATCATCGTCGTCGTCTTATCGTCGTCTCAACTATGTCGTCGTCCTCGCCGTCAACGTCTTCAACGTCCGCGCTGACTAAGCTCCCGCCCCAAAACAGCGACGTCGATCTCAGCTTGCTTCGACAGCATCAAGAAAAAAAAAGCGACATCAAAGGCGAGCATCAACAAGCATCAACTGCGCCCTCG